ATATATATATATATATATATATATATATATATATATATGATAATCCAAAATTTTTCACATCATTTATTTCTATGTCAAACTTCTAATTCAATTCCACTATGACACATTCATTCATTTCTTAATTTCAATTATAATTCGTTCATTTACATGGTAAATATGTATTTTGAAAAAGACTGGTTTATCAGTAATGTTCTTTTTTTTTAATAATTTAAAAAGTAATTACAAAAATGAATTATAGAAGCTTATTTGTTAGTTTAATACTTAGTGAATTAAAATTTTCTTTATTTCACTATTCATCCTTCTTTTTCGTTTTTTTTAAGTTTCGAAAAGATAATCAAAATGTAAATAAAAGCTAAAATTCTTCACAATTCTACGGTTCTTTTAATTTTTCTTCTCCAAAATTTCATTCTTGCATTATCAACAATCATTAATAATAGTCTGCAAGCGCTAATGTCATCACAAAATCTAATATAATTCAAACATTTCAAACTTTTCTATGCCTACCAAAAAAAAAATTTTTTTCATAAAAGGAAAGTCATCATATTTTTATTGTTGCAAAAAAAAAGGTCCCCAATTAGGCGGAAAATGTTTATAGCCTTTTTTTCTTAATGATTAAATATGATGGTTTTTTGTTCTTCTAAATTTGGCTAAAAATGATGACAAAGCATCGCGGCAAAAACAAAAGTATCGGGTATCGGGGAAAAGTGATTAAAAAAAAAGTACCAATAATAGATGATGATCTCCATTTCTGTTACTCCCCTCTCTCTCTCTTTTAACCAATCATTTATTTGATTCATTCGATCTGCCCGCGCATTTTCAATACCATTTGAAAAATTCTTTTTTTTCTATTCAGTTGATAAGCCTCTTTGAAAATGATCATTGTTTGCAACAGCGATTTAATGTTCTATACATTCAATAGCATTTAAGGGGTCGGCAAAGAAGATGACATTGTTTCATTTTCCAATCGATAATTGCCACTATTATTATTGTTGAATTGAAATAATCCTCCTTCTCAACTTTACTACACTTTTTTTTCTAGGGAGATTTTCAAAGAAAGGATAAATTAATGGATTTTAATGCTACTACGAAACACTATGAAACAGGTTAAATTAATTTTTACTTCACTTTAAAAATTTCAAATCATTACTATTCATCCTATTCATTTATGTATTTGTTGTATTTGCAATGAATTTTCAAATATTTTAACTTTTTCTAAGTTTAAATTTCAAATTCATTAAAACTAAATATGAATGAGGATTGATTTCGAATTCAATTTATAATATTTCTATACGTAATACTTTTCGTAGACAAACTTGAACAATGTAATGATTTCAGATATAGCTTATTATTACAATAAAATGATAATGAAGCATATAGACTAATGTTGTTGATATCTAAGAAGAAATGATTTAAAAATTTTAAGAGGAAATTGATTTACAGAAAGTGATTATCACATTAAAGAGATATGTTTTAATTTAGAAATTGAACTTTAGATGGTGATAATCTTGGACAGTCATCCCTACAATATCAACAATTTAGCTCAGCAACTATTGCTATACGTGCTCAAAAAAAGATTCTTTCCAAAATTGTCTCAAGGAATAACGCAAAATTATTCGTGGATGATGTTACTATTCGTTTATTCGATTATCTCTATCAAATCCTGAAGACGGCATACAATAAAGTGATCGCTGAAAAGGTTTCAGCTTAATTAATTACTTTAATTCGGGAAATGAACTTTGGATGGTGATAGTTTATCTTCCATTAAAGTGACACATCTAAAGTAATATAGAAACATGATAAGACATTTATCCGGAATTATCGAGTGCATCAAGAAGGCATTATTCTCATTACATCAATTGGTTAAGAAGAGCTAATTTAAATTACTGACCAAAAGATAAATTTGACAGAATAAATATGACGATTAGCAAAGAAAATATAAATTTGAAGTATATGCAGTATTAGAAATAATGAATTTACAAAAGGTACGGTTTAAATGCTAAGAGCTGTTAAATTTATCTACAGGTGGTGAAAAATATTATCAAACTTGTTGTCAAACTGGGTGTGGTATTGCGAAATGAACAATTTACCGCAGAGCAACAAAATCAACTTGCAAAAATTCAACGACAAATGCGCCAACTTTGTCTTACAGTCATTTCGTTCGGTAAAGTGGCATTCTCCTATGATTATACATATTTGAATGCATTACTCAAGGAGACCTATCGTCGGCTGTTACCACTGGTAGAACAGATTCTTAGCGACAAATCCAAACAACGCTTAGATATGATTTTTGAACATCTGTGTAAGGTAAATTTTCTAATGCTTATATGTCTTGATTAGATAGGTGAAAATATATATGGTTTGAAATGATATCGATAAAGCAATTCTAATCGTTAACTGCTGTGAAATCGCGGTTGAAAAATTTAATAGCAGTGACGAAGTTATACTAGCATTAAAGCTCAATTTATCGTTTGTATAGGATTCGGTGTTGGATTCACTCTTTCGAGCAGATGGTCAACATTGGAAACTTCTTCCAAAGATTATAATAGATCTCGAAGTACTTATTGATAGGAAAGAACTGTGATTTGGAGAAAGGCAACTACAGAAATTCAGTGTGCTTATGCAAGAAAAACAGGTCATATCTCAGTTTATAATATATCTATATTTTCGTATCCAAATGTTGATATTTTGAATTACACAAAAGCATATCTGGGATGGATTTTTTGATTTAAATCTCCAGAATTTGATTTTTTTCCCATTTTATTTTTAAAGTTCAAATGAAAACTTCCAAAGAACCTGCAAGCAAAATACATTCGCATTCCGAATATGCCTTTATTCTAATGTCTGTATGTAATTCTTTCGTTGTTTAAATAGCATTCCTTAAATTATATGTGGGAACCAAAGCTAAGCAAGGTCACAAGTAGCATAGGAAACTTCGGCTATGATTTCATTTCTGAAAGCTTTTTCGAATAATAAACTCAACCGAAAACTGGCTACCTTCCTCAATGTTTGTGTATGGTTCCTACCTTTATTGTATCTTTTAATTCGAGTTCAAACATTTCTTCTTTGGAGAATTGAACTATTTTCCACCGATTGGTTTCTACCTTTATTGTATCTTTTAATTCGAGCTCAAACATTTCTTCTTTGGAGAATTGAACTATTTTCCACCGATTTACCATTTCATTTCATTTTTTCGAAATGATTCATAAATTATTTAGCAAAATTCTTTGTCCCAAACATCTAACAACGAAACTACGACCAATGAAATTGCGCATAATAGCGACTGATAGTAATAAATTATACCCAAGTAAAGAATTGCACACCATCCGCTAATGGACCAACGATGTTTAATTTCCCTTACCTCCTCTACTGCCTTATCACGTAAATTTTCACTGAGCGTACACTTTGAATATAATCAGTTCTACTTTCCGCTCCATGATGAGGAAGGTGCTCTTGCAGATGCAGGAGAAACATGAGGGAACACCCTATCCGAATTACGAGCAACTTCGCATTGCAACTTCAAACATCTTAAAAAATGGTCGACGAAAGGAGGTTGTTTTGTCTTTGCCCGAAGACAATCGGCAATGTTAAATTAAGATAGAGCTAAATAGCCTTTATTTTTCAATTAAGACCGGCACTTTTTAATTAAACAGTAACAGTAAGAAATGCTAAATGAGGCTTCAAATTACGCTGAAATCAAAATATACCATTAAAAAAAAGAAAAAAAATAAGCGAGTAGCAATACAGAAAAGGAGAGATAAAGATAAAACAGCTTTTAATCAAAAGCATTCTCTGCAAAAGTAAAAAGGGTACCAAAACTTAAATTGGATTATTGAATCATAGGAAATACCTATAAAAGAACTGGGATTGGAAAAAAAACTTAGCAACATAATCGTACTTGAACATGAACATGCAGGGAAAATATGATTCAACAAAACTAAAAAACCAAACATTTCAGAAATTGCACAGCAAACAATCGTTTGTGATATTTAAGTAATCAGCAAAAATTAACCAAACCTTTTTTCGTATCATCAGATTAAATACTCAACTTTAAAAACAAACATGCAAATCTTAATCAGAATAATTACTAATAATTGGTAAAACTTGCGAAAGATACAAATTCGATTGAAAATACGTTTATAAGCAAAGCATACTTACGATGAAATATATTCAACAATACAGATTCCATCTTCACGAATTTTCAGTATTCGAATTCGGAATGAATAGTGTTCGCACGAAACGGCACCCTTCAATTTTGTTATTGCTTCGTCTTCGGCTTTCTCACAATTCGGAAAAGTTGGTGCGAGATCTGAGTTAAAAAGTATGCACGGGATCGCCATTCCTGGATAAGTACGAGCGATATCGGGCTAAAATGAGCACAGTCTTAGCAATCGTTTCCCTACATCGATAAAAAGTTTATATATATATATATATATATATATATATATATATATATATATATATATATATATATATATATATATATATATATA